CACCAACTTCAGGGTACTACAATTTAACTGTGTAGCCGCTGGACACCCCTAACCTAACAGTGCAGCTATAAAACATTCTGCAGCAAAGCGCAGAAAGTGGTGGTGGATATTTACCAGACCAATCTCACTTACCGGCCCTGTAACACATCATAAATCGACAATGTTTTCAAAGCACAAAACTTCTCAACAAGAGAAAGCGGCTACTGCAGACGCGAACGCCACTAAGAAGCTAATCCCATACAGAGGCGTGCTCCCTTAATCACGATCTCTGGTTTATCTTCGTTATATAATGGAACTATCCCATTACGATGAAGTTAGCAGTACTTCGCTATATCATGTCATGGTTTGGACTTCTGATTCAACACAATGCTTTTATCTTGTTTTCCACACGTAGCACTCATCCATGTGTCTTCAGACCTATAATTAAAGTTACAAAGAATTTTGGCGTAAGGTATTTCATTATCAATAAATACCAACTTTGAGAGGGGCACGCAGTAGCATAGTTGTTTGAGGCACTATGTTACAAGCCGGAACGTCGTAGGTTCGACTCCCGTGAGATCATTGGATTTTTCAATTGACCTAATACTTCCAGTCGCACTATGGCGCTGGGGTCGACTCAGCCTCTAAGAGAAATGAGAACCCGGAATCTTCCCGGGTGTAAAGGGCGGTGTGTAAGGCTGACAACTTCATCGCCATCTGTGAGCCGATTGTCTAGAAAATGTGGAAGCCTCGACGTCTCACAACCCTATGGGCCTTCACAGCCTGTTACAGGCCAAGCTTAATTTTTAATAATTACTTACGTATGTAATATATTCCTAACAACAGAAAATATACTGTATAAATGCAATAACTTCCGCTCGCATTACATTTAACATTAGTTCTTGTTTACTTAACAATGCCTGGGTACTCCTATAACAACCTGGGTAATCAGAAATCAATATAGAGTCAGCAACCAACAGCAAACAAAACATTCAAAATTTACTAAATGCGCGGACGAAACGCCCGTCACTTACCATAAGATATATATATACTCCATCGATACACAAAGTTTATACAGTATTTTGAATCAACATAACGGGGTTTTTTGCCCTTCTACGAGAAAAGCTCAACGGTTTCTCGCAGGGGTTGGCAATATACTCTCTCTATTATGGGAACGAGGGCATTTCATCATCAGGTAGTAACTTGGATTGTCACGTCACCAGTATTAAATTTTTCCCCTTGGCACTACAGCCCCAGTGGGCCTAGGCCTACCTCCATGAACTTCTCCGTTCACTTCGGTTTTTCTAGATCTTACACATTCGGTAGGACTCCTTGGGCGGGTGATCAGCTCGTCGCAAGGCTCTACCTGTACACAAACACAGAAAACGCACACACACAAACTAAACATCCATGTCCTGGGTGGGATTCGAACCCACGATCCAGGTTTCCAAGCGAGCGAAGACAGTACATGCCTTAGACCGCTCGGCTACCGTGACCGGCCCCATTATTAACTAACAAAATTATATTTTAAAATAGTCTTAGTATTCGTACGGCGGTAGGAAACTCAAATATACATTCATAGGAATTTTCTTTTGTAAGATTGCCTACAAGAGGTATGACGTACAATGGTTCGTAGAGTAGACTGACTTTACTAAACTGAAACAAACCCAGTTTATCCAGGACACTGCTGCAGATGGAAGAACAAACTGGTTTTTCATGAGTTAAGTTATGGGTGCTCTACTATTAAAGTAAACCTAAACGACGCGTCTTTTGATGCTCAAATGTTCACAGCTAACACCATAAAAGTCCATCACCATTTTACTGTATTCTGGACTAGTTCAGTCTATTTACATCCTGACAATTCATGTACCTAATACTTACTTTACTTATGGAGCTGAGCCCTCCTTGAGGAGAAGCCAAATCTGCAGCTACTCCAGAATTTCCAAGTATTTTATGGAACCTGGAGGTTCATTACCGTGTTCACAAGAGCCGTCCACTTGTCCCTATCCTGAGTCAGATCAATCCAATCTATACCATCTCATCCTATCTCTCTAAGACCCATTTTAATATTTCCCACCCACATACGCCTTTGTCTTCCCAGTGGTCTCTTTCCTTTTGGCTTTCCCACCAATATCATATATACATTCTCGTCTACTCTATTCGTGCTACATGCCATGCCCACCTCATTCTAATTATACTTGGAGAAGAGTACATGTTATGAAGATCCTCATAATGCAGTTTTCTCTAACCTCCTGTCTCTTCAGCTCTCTTAAGTCCAAATATTCTCAACACCCTCAGTCTATGTTCCTCCCTTAATGTCAAAGACAAAGTTTCACATTCATACAGAAACACAGGCAAAACTATAGCTTTTCATGTACCTAATGCGTTTAATATCAGCCTACCTACTTTCTGGTTATTCAAACTATCATTTTACATGAGGCTTTCCCCATCAACATTCTGCACTCAGTTCTCGTTTCTGTCTTCCAAGCTATGTGTTTAGCTCACTAAAACCCCGATGTGTAAATAGTAATACAAGGGGTATACTGTGCAACTACGAAATTCCTCATTACGTAACGTTTTCCATTCTCCACGCACTTAGTCCTAGATACAAATATTCTCCTAAACGCTTCCGTTATAGGAAACTTCTTTCTGGCCTAAAATTAGGATCCCAGACGAAACAACGAACAGATGGGCCGATCAGATAACAAGTGTTCACGCCTGGATGGCAGCGATTCCCTCTCTTGAATACATGATTTAATATTGTGCCATACTTTACCGTTGTATGAATTTTCCTACTTTCATTTACTTCTCTTCGGCAATTTTATCTCCGATATAAGATTTGTTTTCCATTCTTCTGGAGTCAAACTATACGCTCCAATGAAGCAAAAATGTGAACCAGTTCTCTGAAATATTCAGGCAGTCAGTCTACAATCAACAGCAGAGCGCCTAACAAAAATGTTTACAGGTTCATATTCGGTCATGTGCCACCAAAGCCGATAAGTTGTGCTGATTTAATTATTCCTGAGGAAATTGAGAAAGTTTCTATGAATCATCATGAAAAAGCCATTTGACACTGCATCAAGATTACAAGTGCTAGTGTGAGTTACTGCCACCTTCGCCAAATAAATTACAAAAATATAACAGAACCCAATATATTCTGTAACGTGTAATGGTACAGTTCTTTATGTGTGTGTGTTAAAGCAGGTGTACTGACCTTTAAGGCGTTAATGTCTTCGTGAATGTAAGTGTAATTTTGATTTTGTTACTGTCGTTCCCCAATATCTGAACTTTATAAATTTTCTTAATATGTTTCAGCTATCCTTGTGTTTTGTCCCGTAGTCTGGTGTCGGGATATGAACATAGGAACATATACTAGCACACTCCGACCTTCTCAGCCTCTAACACAGTACTCACGTATGTAGTCATTTAAAGCGTGGTGAACTGTGCCTATCTATTGCGGCCGATAATGTTCAATGTAGGCACTGTCACATGTTAAGAGTGACTCTCGACGGAGTTTGGATTTGTAACTGGGTTAACTGACCACTTACAGGTCGTAACTGCGAATAACTGTAACAGTCTCACGGAATTACACGCTCTTGTTATATCTACAGCACAGATGAAACCCTCTCTTCATAGGCTGACTTTCAACTGACGGCCATTTCACTCCAACATCCTGGTCTCCACTTCACAGCCTGATTTTCATCTGATTAGCTCCCAGGTTAGCGGCCGTTTCACTCCAACCTCCTTGTCTTCTCTTCTCAGACTGACTTTCAACTGAGCACTGAATTCGTTATTTCAAACAGTCCCGGTTATAACATTTCAGCACGGACCGCAAAGAAAACACCATTCCTCTGTTGCTTATTAAGAATCTGCTGCCAAGGAACGGACATTGTTCCAAGGCCGCTGCCTAGAAACGAATGTTGCTTCTGTGCCCTTTGATAGCAACGGCTGTTTCTCTAGCTCCATAGATCTGGCATTGAGCAAATATGGCACAGTATCTTCCGGGGAAGTAACTATCAAGCTCTATGACGAACAGTCTCTGCTGACCATTATCTTCTCCATTTCTGAATGCACAAATTGTTCCTATTTCCTTCTGAACATGCACAACACGCCTACGTAAGCTGTTCCTCCTATAATAAGGGACATGCGTTCTGAAACCCCCGCTTAACATGAAACTTTGTACTTTACACCAGTTTTATACAGCACGGAGAAACATTTCGTTCCACAGCCTTGCCAACGTTTATCACAAATCCAAAATTTCCAAACGCTGGCTACCTTACTGACGTCTATGGCTCTGCTTGGGGTATATCTATATCCTAAAGCCTTCTTTCCCTAATGCAAACATCTCTCCAGGATATATCACGGAGCTCTGGGACTCGAATCATGTCTGTATCTCCCTTGCATACTGAATTTTAAGAAGTGATATTTACTTGGACAGACTGACAGAGTTACTATTTCAGACAAAAAGTGTGCTACATTATCAGTCGTAACGCCGTGCAATTCGGATAAAATCCGACGTTTCGGAGTAATACTTAGCCTCCTTCTTCAGGGTTTAAAAGTAGGCAAAAAAAGAAAACAGCAGAAGAGCTTGTAGTGTGTTTCTGTTGGTTTCTTGATTTACTCTTCGACCCTGAAAATGGAGAAATGTTCCTCCACAATGTCGGCTGATCCACCGGGGTACACGGCGTTATATCCCAGAGCACAGAACTCTTCATAGTCAGCGCTGTGAGAACGTAAAATCCAATATGCATCAGAACCACACCTATATGTGGGAAGAGTGTCTGGTAGTGGATTATTTGAAACAGAGGCAAATGGGACGCGATCATGTAATCGGTTTCGTCATGCAAACTACTTTCCATAACAGACGTCTTAGTAAAATGTAGCGTGCAGCTTTCCTGGTGTATTACAGGGAACAGCAATTACTCAGCAATTTATTCTTGCAACACAGGTGTCTGCTACGGATGGCAACAGTTTTTACACATGCACTACGGTTTCCTTGTCCTGTAGTGGTTATCGCTTACCTGCCGCATCTTCTCGAAGTCTAGACAGGGCCGCTGAATGTGTTGGGCTCGAGGCGTGTGCCGATGCCTCTTCCTGGGCGACACCTCCAGAGCTGTGGTGGCAGATGCGTGCCCTCCATAATGGAACAATTTTGGGGGCGGCGACAGGGAACGACCGGGTTTATGAGCGTCCAACGGCGGGGACGTTCGGAACTGTACAGGTGTGGCCATCGCTGCGAGCAACCCTTGCACTTCCTCATCAGAACTACTGGAACTTTGATCCGCAGCAGGTGTGGTAGTGATTACAGCCACAGACGCCCTGCCACCTCCACCGCTTAATGCCATGTTACTACTACTCCCGCCATGAACGGAAGAACAAGTCCCCGCTATCGTTAAGCGACCCGACGAATTTGTAGACAGACAAGTATTACTAAGGGAGCAAGTGGAACCGCCGGTGATTTGAGACCACTTGCGTTTCTCTGGCATAACTGTGCTAACGCTGCCGCTACGACATGTCAACAGCTCCTTCACGGAACTTCCGACGGCAGCGCAGTTGGTAGGATTGTTGATCACCTCCAGTTCCTCCTCAGAGCTGTGATGGTCATAATTGTGATCGCTGTCGCTAGGGAGTGCGCTATCCAAGAAGTATGGACTCGCAGGGCTGCAAGCTGTTATGCCACTGCCTGCATACGGACCGGGACTCACCGTGGACCCGCTGGAGCGCTCTGCCTCACTCTCCATAACTAGAACAGAGGCAACACACAGTGTCAACGGGAGTTCAATTCCAAATGGGCTTCATGGCCAAAGCAAAGGAATAAATAACGAAACCTGGGTTATTCCTGCAGGAATGTTAATACCGTTAACAGGTTCACTGATTTGACAAAGGGGCCCTCGCTTCCCACTGAAATGTTCATCGCACGACCGGTGAATCCACGAGGTCGTGAAATTAAAAGTATCTCCAACGGCGAACTTTCCTCACAGGTTGGAATAACTTAAAAGAGTCCGCAAGTTAACAGCCCCCTCCACCCCGAGAAAACGCTCTGGAACTCGCTGTGATTAATTCGCCATATATCAACTCATTCTAAGTAACATTCCAAACGGCTGATGCCAAAAGCCACAACGTAGAACTGGAGTATCCAAATATTTGACGAATGGGAGAAACTGAAATTATATGTAATGCTTCCGTATTCTTTTGTTTGGGTTTGAAAAGTTCCTCACATCTGTCGGATAAGCACTGTCTGTACACAAACCGCAATATAACGCGGCGAAACGTCGAGCGTTAGTATAAGGCTTGAGGTTTTCACGAGGATGAAGATCAATTTGTGAGCTTGTGGCTTGTTGCACAGTGTTCTTATCCGCTACGTGGATACCATCCTTTCAGAAGAGCAAACCGCCTCCAACTTCTGAGTAGACCGGAATATAAATTTGTGTTTCTTCCGTAGCACGGATGCCTGCACTGACTAGTGAATTTCACATCGGCAAAGTATTCATGATATTTCAACGAGTACGTTCACATCATGCGTATCTGAAGGTCATAGAAGACCTGAATACGAGTGACTGTGATGGCTCTATGACGCGTCAATGTGAATACTAGAGCACACTGTCGGTCCGCTGTCTGTCTGTTCCCTATCGGTTTCATTAAGAAGCCTGAATGTGTCTTAAACCGTCCACGAAATTAAAAGGGTGAAATATGAACACAGTTCACTGCCGTGACTGGATGTAAGCCGCGACGAGAATTACAGAAGAACGTGTCACGTATAAGGTGAAGTTAAAATTGTCCTTAAGCTTAATTAAGCAGCACGCCATGAAGAGTGCAGGTATAGAGCTCCACTATTCTTGAGCTCGGCACTAGACGGAGGTGACTGTTCAGCTTCACGCCCCGGCAGTTTTATCCCCGGAGTAAGATCCCGCGGTACCCAATGCACAGAAGGCTGGCTGGGCCCCAGAGCCGGTTCTGGGCGCTGTGTAGTGCAGAAAACTGTTTTGCTCCTGCCGGGAATCAAGCCCAAGCCGTCCAGCCAGTGGCCCGTAGCTATACCGACTGAGCTATCCCGGCCTTACTTGGGACGTCTACTTCGCTTTAAGCCCTTCGTTCTATAGCACGATGCTATTAAGACCTACATTCTAACAATTATAGAACTTCAGTTTGCGCAGAGGGTAGAAGGGGCAATTAACACCAAGCGGATAATAACGCCACCAGAATATGTTTTAAAGTATCGTTGAGAGCTCACCGGCAATTTGTTGCTGTGTGCACGTCCACCAACTAGCAGTGCCATCTTGAAACCGCCGAGGTCTGTCTCAGTAGGTTGAACGAGCTCGAACGGTTATCGCGTGTCAGTTACTACCTCCATTTTGGGACGCCTGAGTATACGCAAGGTCACAGGTCAAGAGTCTCAGTGTTACAATAACAGCTGATGTTATTACCGCTTGTATGTGACTGGATGCCGTTTTCATTGTTCTCTCTTGTGAGGATATTAAAAGGCTCGTTTATCTGATTTCCTTAACTTCATTCCGCGATGACCGAAAACAATACAGTTCGTGAAATAACCCCGCTGTAGGGCAGGCCAATAATGGCGTCTGTTTCATTTTGTATCTTATCAAGTTTACAGTTAAAATAAGTGAAAGCTATATTTTCACTAGCGAAATTAACTTGTTTAGCATAATATAAGCTTCCTAATATGTTCACGTCTTCATGTTAAGCTCCTTTCCGTCACACGCCTATCATTCTTCCGTTGTTCCCTTAATTTTTTCTTTCAGAATTTCGGTTTCAAATCTGATATTTCTTTTAGAGCATGGTGACGACATGCAAAGGTGTCAAGGTACAATGACCAACAGAGTGTTTGAAGCTCGCCGCGTCTGCTGCAAAGTCTCGGACTGCCTTTGTAACTGCGTCCGGGATACATGGTATTCCTCGAAGGACAATTCGTGACTAGGTTAATCGAGAGAGCTCCCCTCTAAAGAAGCTTGGAGAAATGCATTCTTGCCTGTGGATGATGAAAACCAACTATGCCAAGGAACCGTATGTTTACAAGTTGCTTTTGGACTTACGGCATCATTTAATACACAATTTGGATGAGACAGGAGTTTAGATGACTTGCAGTTCTGGTAATCAAAAGCTGTTAGCCGTAGAAGGCAGTAAAACAGTTCTCACTGCTACTCACGGAAGAGAAGGGGAAACCGTGACAGTAGTGGCCTGCATGGATGGAGTAAGTGGAAACAACTGGATCAACCAGTGGTTCTGTATAAGGGAAACTACAGAAGGAATTATTCTGCAGACGCTCTTATTGCAGGAAGCACCTTTATTTAGCATGACTCCAAAGGGGTACATAACAACAGACGGGTTCTGCAAATTTTCTTCATAATTTCAATCACCATCTGGAACAGGCCTTTTAAATCTTCATAGACATCGAGCTCATCTCGATCATTTTGTTGTTACTAAACATCCAGTTGCTCTGTCTTTCTGCTCACTGCAACAATGAGCTCTAGGAACTGGGCAAAAGTCCCCCCCCCCAACTGAAATGCTACTGAATGAAGCTGAGGATAATTACAGGAGGGAGAATCCTGGAAGAGGATTCGCCAACTTCAATTTTCAAAATTATTAGTCGAAACTTGGATGAAATCTGCCACCCCAAGGTTTTCAGTAGCTGGGTCCAGATCTACGGGGATTTACCATTTGATCCGGACGCCCTACCAGAAAGGGCGTCCGCTCTCAGCTCTGTATCTGAGCGTCCGTTACACTGCAACGTCAACCGAGGCCAAGATACCCCATCAGGAAATATAAATCACGAAAGGTCTGAAACTCATACAGAAGCTGCAGTCACACGTTCGACGTGTATGTCGTTCTGTCCGGGAGACAATGCCTTCTCCAAAGATCGGTCGATAGCTGACGCTCCTCGGCGATCCCCCAATACGAATTCGGCTGTGGTGACTAAAGATCTCGTTCAGAGTAAGCCGGGAAAAGAACAAATATAGACACTGAGAAGAATGAAACTGAGAACAGGGCAAGAAAAAAAAGAAGGAAGAAAAGCGACCTGTTTTGTGGGGACTGTGGCGGTTACTGTTTCGACTCTCATACAAATGACTACTGGATTTACTGTATGGAGTGAAAAGTATGGTTCAACGAAAAATGTGGCAATGATAGGCATGTGGACATATGGCTGTGTGCTCTGTACGAGTATTATGAGGAATGTGCTCTTTTAACTAGCGATTCTGATTGAGCGTGGAAGCATTTTTGTTTTGGTTTATTCCTTTTCTGATGAGTAACTTTTTAAACGATTTATTTAGGCTTGGGAAGTGAGAACTTCCGACTTTAAATAACTGTGTTATTGTTACCGTAATGTGCTGCTGGTACTTCTACTCCTCACACAGAATTTTATTTGTTTGAGTAGTACAACTTCAGACGCGACTGACTTAGTACCCTCCGTGCACGGTAATAACGTGATTTCTGCCTTTTCTCAAATTCACGTTCCCTTAGAGAATAAAAGTAAAGATTTTAGAAACCACTGTACGTCTCTGAAATTGTGAATGCTGTAGCTTCAAAAAATTAAGATGTGGATATTTCTGACACAGTTGGAAATGAGTCGTTGATTAAACGAGGTGGTGGCGGTTTTTTTAGTCCAATTTACCCTAAGCACAGGAACTCACAAATTTGTCTGACACAAGCTCAATAAAGGCCAATTGGAATGGTCATTTGTTACGCAGAAACTGCCTTCTTAAAAGAAGTTACTGAAGGAAAGATAGAGGGGCGGATAGAAGTGACAAGAAGACGAGGAAGAAGACGTAAGAAGATGCTGGATGACCTTGGGGACAGAAGAGTATACTGTCATTTGAAGGAGAAAGCTCTAGATCGCATTAAGTGGACGAATTGTTTTGGAAGAGAATGTGGACCTGTCGTCTGACAGATTACTGATGATGATGAAGCTCAATAAATGTTCAAACCATCGCCATGCTTGCAAATGTCAAAGCGCAGGAAAAGATTTCGCATAAAATTTGTACGTATGTTTATTAACTATTTCCTTAAAAACTTCTGCATACCGAGCTAAGTCAAGTACTTCACCGGTCTCGCTGCCAAACCGATTTTCTTTAACAGATTCCCTCTTGTTCTCTACCCAGTCTACAAGCAAATAAAATAGCCTGAATAGACGCCACTTCATTTCCGAAGATCTATTACCACACAACACTATTACTACCTTGATATAACAGGGTATCGATTCCACCTCAGAAATTGGCACCCCCCTCCCCCGATTTTAATATGACTAATTGTAATAAATTAAAAAGTACAAAACTGTGTGGACCTAATGTATTCTTCAAAAAATCTGTCAACCGGTTCAAAAATTATAGAGGAGGGAAATGTTTAATACCGAAAGTACGCACAACCTGAACTTCACAGAACGTAAGATCTGACAATAAGAATTCTGCATGGTGGTTCTGCTCCTGACTTCAATCATATCTCCCAATCTTACTTAAGGACAGTGTTTCTTATTGTTTTAATTTCGTACAATAGCTCCTCAGAAATGCTAGTTCTTCGAGCTAAACTACAGCCTCAAGATTCAACCTTTAAGAACCATACACGTCCTTCATTTCCTGGTTTCGTGCCATGGCGCACCTTGACATTCTTCTCTTCCGGTCTCCAACACACCTCGGAGACTGCTATTTTCCTGTATCTTGCAATCAAAAACGTTTCAATGGAAGCGGGATTTTATATGCAATTAAAGACTCCAACTATTTCTTAATCTGATCTGTG